CAGTGAATTACATACTTAAATGGTTAAAAAGGAAATTTTTACCCAGGCATGGTGGTACACACCTGTAATCCCAGCACTCTGAGAAGCTGAGGCAGGAGGATCGCTAGTTCAAACCCAGACTAGGCAACTTAGTGACTTAGTAAGACCTTGTCTCAAAAAAATAAGAAAGAAAAAAAATAAGAAAGGGCTACAGATGTACTCAATGAGAAGGCCCTGGGTTCACCCTCAGTACTGAAAAAAAAACGAACCAAAAGCTTCACACGTTAGGCGAGCTCTCTACCACTGAACTACACCCTCACCCTGGGTCCACTTCTAATTAGCCATACTCCAAAGTCTTCCTTGGGAAGAATGAAGATGAAAGAAAACAGCTTAAGATTTGCTGTGAGTAGAATTCAACGACTGGAGAATCACACCAAGTGTGTGCAGTCAAGTCTGGCAGAGTTTACAGGAGGCCAGCACAGCCTAGTGGTCAAGATCATGCACTCTGATGATGAAAGTCAGTTGTTTACCATTAGATGGACGGCCCTCCACAAGGAATCTATCTGGTTCAGATTTCAGGTCACATATACAGAAGGACTGGAATAGTGTCTAACCTAATAGGGGTCATCAAGATTAAAGGAGACAGCACAGGTCAAAGGATTTAGGGCAATGCCTGATTCAGTCAAAGCACAACAATGCCAGCTACTGGAAAACTACCTGGAACACTGGTTCTGTCTGGGCACAGTAACTCTATCAGGTAGGTATTATAAGCACCGCTCCTAACTAGAATAAGTCTAGAGCTCAGAAAGTTACCTAAGCTCACTTATCTACTAAAATGGTGAAACTAGAATTTAAGTCTGGGTCAGAGCAATTCCAATGAAAAACAAGATTAAAGAGCACAAAAAAGAGTAAATGGAAGCCAGCAGTGGGAGCATACACCTGTAGTCCCAATACTTGCACGACTGAGACACCAAGTTCACTTACGCCCAGAAATTTGAGGTCAGCCTGGACAACCCAGCAAGATGACATCTTACCCTGGAAAGTAAAGTCTCATCCTGCTCCTCCCCACTGGTACCCTTCTCCTATCCCCAGAGCAGCCCAACCTGGGGGGGCCGGCTGGAAGAAAGCAGCCTCATTAGGTCTCTGCTGCAGCAGGGCTGGGGGAGCCCTCTGGCCTCAATAGGGAAGGGCAGCAGTGGCACCAAATGAGAAGGCAGGGTCCATGGCATCTGCAAAGTCTGGAAGCAAGGGCCCCAGGGTGCAGGGGGCTCTGTATCCAGCACCTGAGCCTGGGATGAACAGATGCAGGTGCAAGAGTTTAGAGCCAAGGCCTTGAAATAGCACCGGTGGATCTGGGGGTTGAGGCTGTTGAATACAGATCACCCCATCTCCACGAGCACTGTGGAAGAGCAGCATGTGTCTGTGCTGGGAGAGCCAGAGGCAGAGCCACAGAGACAGGCAGAAGCTGGGCCCTTCTCTTACCTACTTCAGCATTATTTGAGTTTTCTACCAGGCACACACATTAGCACATCACAACCTAACACTTATTTTTCATGTTCAATGGTCCACCTTTCTGCCACAGAGCAGGGTGGTTATCTAACCTGTATGAGTTGCCTTCTCTTCATTCACTTAAAAAACAAAAACAAAACTCCTTCCAGAGCTGTGAAAGGATTCGGCAAATGAATGTGGAGTAACAGACAAACGTGGAGCTTTATTATCCTTGCTGCTGTTCATAAACTTAATCTGGGCACCTTCTCCTGCAAGCAAAACAAAACAAAACAGTCCTGACTGAACCACACTGGCCTGCATTCCTTGTTTCCTTTCTTGTTCCTCTGAACATCTCTGAAGTGGAAGTGCAGCTTAAGTAAGAAGCCCACCCTTGCCGTCAGCCGCCACAAAAAAGACCCTCAAAGGAGGAACACTGCAAAAGTCCATATTGCCATCTCCATCAGCCAAGTTCTACTTTCAACCTGGGCGAAAGTTCCACTTTCATTGTACAGAAAGGGTTTTTCTCAGTTCTGGATCTGGTTTTGGTTTGGTTTTGGTTTTGGTTTCTCCTAAATCTGCAGTCAGGATGGAAGCTGGCAGTGTCCCTTGAGAACAGGACCAGGGCTGAAAATATAAAACAGTGCTCAGAATGCCTACCGGGTGCCAGGCGCATGTGATCTGTGGAGAAGAATGTCAGCATGGGCTGTGGGTCCCTATGGGAGGACAGAAAACAAACAGACAAGCTCAGAGAGCCCTCCACACACAGAAAGAAGCTTGGGAATGGGAACAATGACAGTTATTCTCCCAAGCATTTTATCCTTCATCTGAAATAGAAAGGCTATCACACTGGATGCAGGGGCACGGCCCCACAGGAAACCTTGGAGGCCCTTTACCAGGGAGCCAGCCATACACCCACACACACCCAGGCTGAGTCCCCATGTCACCTGCCAAAGGACATGGTCAGTCAGCCATATGTTTGCAGGCCATATCCTGAAGTGCACCCGGAAGCAGTCAAAGCTGCATAGCTTGCTGGTTTGTTTTCATTTTCCCTATCAGAATTGGGAATTGAACCCAGGGACTTCACAATGAGCTGCATCCTTGGCTCTTTTTACTTTTTATCTTGAGACAGTGTCTCACTAAATTGTCCAAACTAACTTTGAACTTGTGATCTGGCTCAGTATGGGCCAACACCCAGGCTATATGCTCTTAAAGGATGAACAACCCCCCACCCCCAGCAAAAAGGCAGCTGCTATTCAGAAATTATCTTCTCTTGAGCTACTAGGATTCAAACTCCTGAAATTAAGCAGATGGTCAAATCAAAGCATTCAGAAGGCAAGGGTGTCCACATGTAGGAAATAAGAGCTGTATCACTTCAGGAGCTCCTCATTTCTACATTTTTCATTTTTAAGTCATATCTGATTTTCAAAGCATAAGCTTTCCTGTTATACCCAGGAGTCCTTCTCTCCTGGAGTCAAGTAACAATCCCCAGGCCACAATGGCACGGTGGTTCCCAGGCCTGCTGGGACCAGGCTGGCAGGGCCAGGATCTCATGTTCAGCTCAGCAGAGGAAGCCGTGCCTCCACCCCACTGTGAGTGACTCTTCCTCTACTTGCCCAGTGTTGAAGTTAAGCAGCCCATCTCCCCTAGACTGCAGCATAGCCACTGTGTGCAAAGCCAAGTGTCACACAATAAAATCTGTATCAAGTCTCCAAGTGCTACCACGTGAGGAAAAAACAGGTATACAGCCTTCCCCAACTGGGCCAACATGGTCGGGAAATCACAGGGCAATCTGGGGGAGCACCTCTCAATTTATAGGGCTCATGTAGATCTAGCCATATACTCAAGTCCTTTTCAGTTTTGTCTAAGTACTCAATCTGATGGGACAAAAACAACTTTATGTGCTTGGATTTACTTTCAACAATAACAATTAAAAAAATCAAGTTTCTACCCAAGCTATTATTTATTATAAAGAAAAGAAAAAAAAAGAACAACCACCACCTGAGGATCTAGAGTCTCCTCTTGCTAAGTATAATGCAAATAATCAAAAAAAATTTTAAGGCAATTATTCCCTCTTGTGAATTTTTGGTAGTTAAATCTGGCAATTTAAGGGGGCTTACTCTCAACATGAATCTCAAAGAATGGGCTTTTATCCACTTCCAAAAAAAGTATAGATCTTTGGGAAGGAATTTTTTAAAACTCTGATAAGACAGTAATCTACCTTGCTGACTCAAAGGTACTTGCATATTAATTGCTTCAAATCCCCAAAATCCCTGCTGAACTGGCTAAATTGTGGGCCAAATTCAATAATCCAGCAACCTCCCATTCAATGCCTCACCAAGATAACTTTGCATGTTTAATTTAAAAGTACCGATCGCTGTGAAATGAAATGCTAACGCAAGCCCGTCTGCCGCCCAAGCCATCGCCCGCCTCGTCTCTGATGGACAAGCGGTGAGTTGCAGAGCGAGACTTGGAGCAGCCTCTGGACAACGAGGAAAAAACAGCTTGCCATCGCTCTTCCAAATGGTATCTGTTCCCCCCGCAAACCAAACTTTTAAAACATGCCCCTGTAGGTTAATTTTCCTGATAGAGGCAGGGAGATCTGTCCTCAGATACTCAAATATTATCTATCCCGATTGTATCTGATTAGCAAGAAATACACAACTCTCTGGCCTATGTGAATGCTTGTGCTATTCTAGCTGAACTAACCTAAGGCGCTTTTTCCTTTCTCTTTTGCAACTGTGTTCCATGTTTGACCCCTCAAATTTATTTTAAGTAGTTTTGCAAACAGCTTCCTCTTTCCCTTCCTCCCCCATGCAGCCAGCAGCTCACGTTTCTTGTGCACAGAACATGTTTTGTCCACCTTGGGAAGTGGCACTGGGGAAGCAGAGAGCCTGCTTTCGGTAAAATCGGAGCCAGAAATCGGTCCCATTCATTCAAGGGACTAAAACAATATCAAGAACTAATTTATATTTTAACAGAACAAGTAAGAATTAAAGCAGTGATTCCCCTTATCTGACATGTAAAAACAAATATCTGGCTCCCTGGTGTCACAGTAAATATGCTGTATCAGAAACGGATCTGAAATTCCAGCATCATTTCACTGCGTGGCTACACACTTGTACTAATTGCCATAATCAAAATATTTCATTGGAGCTTTTCAAACCAAACATCTAAAGCTTGTTCAATAACAGTGACAACAATAACTGCTACAATAAAATAACAATTACAATAATAATAACAATAGGAGTTTGGAGATTAATGGACTAAGGGACAGCAAACAATGAGAAGCAGTGTTTGGTCTGTGGTAAGAAAGAAGGTTTTGACAGACAATACAGGAAAAGAACAGTAAATCAATCTGAATTCATGTAGGGTTCTGGGCTTCTGGAATCATAAACGCCCCATTGTAAAGATTCAATGTGAATTTTCAAAACAAGAAACAGTAAATGAGTTTAAGAGACAAAAACAAGTGCCATTTTGTCATTGTATTTTACATACTATTTCTACTGATTTGCTTGCCTCAAAAGAGAACCTACCTTCAGAGTTCCATTTTAAAAGTTCCTTTCAAACTACGTCTGAGTCTTAACAGAACTGCACCAAACGTGGTTGCCGCAGTTTAGGAAACCCCACAGGGTGCTGTGTCTGGGTATTGCTGCCTTCTCCTCCAAGGTCTTCTGGAGCTCAGTCTTCCAACGATCCTCCTCAGCTCCCAAAATACATGTTCCTTATCAAAACTACTTCCAGTTTCACTTTTTATGCTGGGAATTTCCATGAGAAAAAAAAGGTATTTAAATGTTTCATTTTGTAAGAAAATAAGATGATTTTTGTATCTCAAACTCACCTAAAGGACATATGTTGTGAGACAATTAAAAAGATCTGGTTCTAAAACAATAAAATCCTCACTAAAACATATTTAGTCCACACATATTTTACTACATAACAGAGCTATTCTGTTTGCTGAGCTAGCATTGACAATAGTATATTTTGCTGTGAGTCTCTACACATGAACCAATGTATGCATAAACTAACCCAAAATTCTGAAATTCACCTTGAAGAGCAGTGTTTCTGTCAGCAACACTTTTTTGAGAGCCAGATGGTGTTGTACACATTTGTGTAAAGAATGTCTACTCATCCATTAGGGCTGTGATTTCTCCAAACTCTAAATGTGACATGTGTTATCTCCTATCTGCTACTCTTCACGCAAATCAATTTTCTCTGCAAATCAATTTCCCTGTTTATAAAAACAAACCTGAGCTTGCACTTCTAAGACAAATATGACCAAACTGAAAATCTTGATTTTTTTTTTTTAATTCGCATCAATTTCCTACTTAGTTTAAGCGATCGATGCTACTCGATGCTATAGCAAAATGCAACATGAAAGAACACGGGCGCTCTTTAAAGTTTGATGAACTCCTGATATGGAGTTCCTTACCTTCCCTAAAAACTTTCTTAACATCCTTACCCCACATATTTCTGGCTCAGCTGCAAATGTGATGCTTCCAGAAATTTCAGAGACAATGAAATCTTTTTAAAACTTCTACAAAGGTCTAATGCTTTATTAATAGCTTTAAAACTTCAAAGTAGATCATTTATATTTGAAATACTTGGAAATGTACATGCCCCCAAAATCAACAGTAAATTGAAGAGGGAAAATCATCCCCCTAATTGAAAGGAGGGTACCCCCATCTTTTTAAAAAGTCTAATGTTTTCTGGTGAATTTTCCTTTTTCCCCCAGGCCTACACACAGGCCTTGCCCAGGCTCTGCAGTATTAAATGAGTAAGGGTTTTTTGTTTTGTTTTGTTTTGGCCTGATTTTAAAATAATGAATCAATAGCAACAATAATAAAAAGATTTCCAAAATGTGGTCTTATAAATTCCTTTATAGTGCCTGAATCAAGATTGAATCAGTGATCCAGTATAACCATTTATACTGCAGAAAAACAGTGCAGCATTTCAGGAAAGCTCACGGTTCCAGCTGGCAATGTAAAAATCACAAGAGACTGAGAGCCTTTATTATCAGCAGTGAAAGTAGTGGTAGTAACTAAAACTATGTTTATTAAAAATGTATCCAGTATCAGATCTATTTTTTCTAATCCTCAAAACAGTTCTTTCTGATTTCGCAGTCCAGAAAAGTTAAGGCCCAAAAAAGTAATCAGCCCCAGATCACACAGCTAACAAACAAACACTGAAGGTAGGAGTCAAACTCAAGTTTCTCAGGCTTTAAACCTTAAGCTTTTTCAATTATCTATACCTGCCTTTGTGCTGTTCTGTGCTGCTTGATTTTTTTTTCTTTAATACTAATGCGTAAGTTGTTTCAAGAAAAGTTCTTTTTGGCACATATTCTGAGGTACATGTGCATTTAGCAGTGATTGGCACCTATCATTTTCCAAACACAAAATAAGCCAACATTCCCAAAGACTGATCTTCCCAGTGGACAAAACACACTGCTTTCTAGTACACCATCCGTATTTCTCTGGTCCTTGTGGTCACACCTGCCGTACCCTGCTGTGGCCTTCCTCAGCTCAACTCCAACTGCACTCACAATTTTATATCCAGATCTACATAATTAAGTACTTAAACCTCTGTCTACTTCAACCTCTGTCTACTTCAGTGTACTAATTTAGTTTCTCCCTAACTCAAGTATTACCAATTCAAAAGCAGACAAAAATTATATATTACATATGGTATCAGACACTATCCATCTAGTATGTCTTCCCAACCCAAAACTGGGAAATTGAGATTCCTGCCAAATGACTTACTTTCATATGAGCAGTTTGATAAGGATTTTTAAGTTAAATTATATTTAATTATGATTACAATAGCCAATGCCATTTACTGAGCACTTCATATGTTCCACACACTGAAGTCAGTACTCTATGGCACTTATCTCATGAGAGTCTCACAAAATATTTGCAAGGTTGTTCTCTTCACTGTGGAGACAGAACACTGAGGTTCAGAGCAGAGCACAGTCACAAGCCAACCACAAGGACAGGATTCAAGCCTGGGCCAGCGTGCTGCGCTCCAGTGCTTTTCACCACTCCTGAGCACGGCTACAGGTGTCTCCGATGTGGCCAGGCAAGGGCAGGGTGAGACCAAGCCTGGCGGCAAGCCCTAACTGCATGCCTGGTCACAGCGTTCACAGCTGAGCCCACAGCTTCCCTCCCTCTGAAAGAGAGGCCTGGCAAGTTCCCCAAAGCAGGACCACGTCCCTTTCATCTGGGCTTTCTAAAGGCTGGCAGTGCTCATGCAATGGTGAGGTGATGCTGTATTTTATCAGTCCTCCTGGAGAGCCCCTCCTCACATCTGCCCACCTCCATGCAGCCCAGGATCACTGGCTAGCAGTCCCAGAGGTTTTACACATTGTTCCATCCACACCTGGCTTCCCACCACCAAACTCGATGTCACCCTGTCAGTACCCACTGCCCAGAATGCATGACAGGGGACCGTAACAGCACACACCCACGCTCCTGCACAATGTGTTGCAGAGCCTCCCTACGGCACTCCACACGGGCCAAAGCTAGCCACAGGGGCAGCACCTGGCACCTCACATGAAAAGCAACAGGAAATGCTGGAGAGGAAACTAAAGGGCACAAAGGGAAAAGTTCCTAGTGCTACAGCAGCTCCAGAGCGTGAGATTTCATCCCTGGCTCGAGCTGGGACCAGTTCGCAGAAAGGGGAGTTTTGTTGCAGCACTGGTAGGAAGGAAGGGGGGTGGGGGAGGTTAAGGAGGAGAGGGAGCAGAGGAAAGGGGAAGGGGAGGAGAAGAAAAGGAAGAAAAAGAAAAAGAAAGAATGCCAATGATGACATGAGACAGGAGAGAGGCCAGCTTTGTCCTACATCCTGTTGAATAGCCAAGGAAAACAATGAATCTATTTTTCCCCCTCCTCTTCTTTGCCTTAAAAAAATTCAAGAATTTCATTTCCTTCGTTGAAACAGTTTTTGCAGAATTTTTATCCTCCTTCCTGTTGTCTGAAATGCCAAGAAAAAGGATATTTGACTGCCCAGGGACCTCAGGAGTGGAGGTGCAGGAGTGACAACCCCTGGAGCGGCCCAGGCCAGAGACCGAGGCAATGAAGGCTGCTTCCATGCACCGCACATCCCAAATGGTGCTATCAGCCCATCAGCCTCACTCCCACAGGAGGAGAAACTAGAGTTCAGAAAAAGCAACATGCCCAGCCCACAGGCACACACTAAGCCAGCAGAGGAGGCAAAATCCTACTTGACTCTGTGGTCTCAGAGCTCAGGCCACTGTGCTGCTGAAACCTAGCTCTCTGGAAAGCTCTGCAAGCAGAGATTGAGCCTCCCCTGCACTTCCAGGGACGGCAACACCAATAGAGGCAGCAGGACAAGCAAAGAACCACAGCTAACAGAGTGTTTGTAAATGGGGTTATGCCCTGGCTTCAAGATACACAAAAATAGAATGGAAATCTAAAGTCCTCAAAAGTGGAGGAAATTTGCCTTGCTCAGGTGGGGGAAAATGCCTCCCTCTAAGAATGCTAGGATGCCACTGACATGAGTCACCAGCACACTGCGAAGACAGCAGCATGCTCTATACTACTCAGTCTGCTTTCCAGCCCTGGGCAGCGTCTCAGATACACACAGGCCTCCAAGCGACCCTGCCTCCCAGCCCTTCTATCCTAGCTCTTAGCATCCAGAGCCCACAGGACCCAGAAAGGCAGAGGGGAGGGCTACTGAGAGTGGCAGCCAGGAGAGCACTCCAAGCAGGGGTAGCAGGAACAGCTTTACCAGCCTCCTCACAGTGATGGTCCCCCAAAAGATGACATGTAACTGCATCCCTCCAGCTCCCTTCAACTACCTATAACAGCTGTGGATAAGGCTGGAGCCAGGGACACAGGCCATCCATCTAGCAGGCCACACACAATCCTGCCACTATCCTCACTTGGAGACACCATGTTTGTTTCATATTTGATCCTCCCCAATATTAGTAAATATTGATAATTACCTCCAAATGCAAAAGCAAAGAAGCAGTTCGTGTTTTGAAATGTGGATCATAATTCAAACTGGAAGCTGACACTAATCATTTGATGTTCACTTGAAAAGACCAGATAGGATGTGCAGGAACATTTCAGTAGGAGGACCGATAAGGAGAAGGGAAATAAAAATTATTGGTATTTACTTGGCCTGCAATGCTCGTGGAGGGAAACTCTTTTAAAAGGGGAGCACTTCAGAATGGTTATTCAATCTGAATTTTACAGATAGCACTGGAAATATTTTCTCACAGAATGCCCTCTATCTCTACCATCATATCTCTCCCAGCGCCTGCACGTTGCTCATTGCAGGAATTCTCACTCAATTCTGCTCCATTATGAGCTGACGGTGACCCAGTGCCTACAAGGCATTCAAGAGTCTGACTGGAAATTACTACCACGGAACATCTGTCCCATTCCCACTTGCCAACCCTGCCTCAGGGGGCGAAGATGGAAAACTACGCAGGATCCACATGCAAAAACAACTTTTTATTCCCCTTACAAACAAGACTTCTCTGGACATTGAGGGTTCCAGCATTTTTCAGAAATTATGTTCCTGGAAAAACACGGCATGAACCTCTATGGAGAGCCTACAGCTCCACAGCCTTCCCTTCCTACCAGATTCTTCTAATAAATGCCAGGGCAGGAGCTCTAAGGAGAAGCAAATGGGGAGGCCACCCATGGCTCACCTTACCTGGCCTGTCAAACTCAAATTTTGTGCTAAATGCCGTGGATCAATTAAAAG